AAGCTGCGAGAAAAACATCACGTCGCATCCCTCGTTATTTTGCTTACATAAGTGAAAGCAAGAGATGAGATGCGACGTGCTGTTTTTGCTCTCAGTCTTTCATATATTCTGAAAGTGTACGTCTAACGCATACGAAACGGATGCACGATACATATTCTCCTTTCACTTCGTATGTTCGCTGGTATAGTGTGTTACCGTTGTACCGGCAATAGCGTGAACGGCAGCACATACGAAGCGAAAGGGGAATATGTATCGTGCATCCGTTTCGTATGCGTTAGCCGCACGAGTTCAGCATTTCTCAGCTCTCAGCTATATGCTGAGCAGCAGCAAATCATGATACTCTGAACCGACCACAACTTAGATCTTGGAATACAATCATAAGCCTTCTGCAAATCAACGAAACACAAAAAGAAATCCTTATTTTTCTCATGGAATTTCTCTAGCAGCTGTCTCAAAACAAAAATTTGGTCTTGGCAACCCCGCATAGGGCGGAATCCCGATTGATTTTCATCCAGAAGCTCTGGTTCGTTTTTCCAAAATTGAACTATAAACTTTTCCTACAACACTCAATAGAGAAATTCCATGATAATTATTGCAGTCTTGCGTAACAAATTTGGTGCGATGTGAATTTGTTATGCACAAAAAAATGCTAAAGAATTTCTTTTATTTTTGCAATTATTTAAAAAAAAAGTGGTGAATTTGTGTGGGGAAATTGACGTCGAATCGATTTGGATGCATTTTTTGCAGTGTACGACCGATCCGAAGGCATATTTGGCATGCACAAATTATGCACAAAAAATGGCACAAAATTTTTTCCGATTTTTTAGCCATAGAAAAATGATGAATTGCATCCAAAACCGAAATTCACCACAAAATATAAAGCTGAATAACTTATCAGCCATTTATGCACAAATTCTAAAAATGCATGCACAAATTCGCACAAATTATGCACAAAAAAATGGTATAGGTTTCAATAAGATACTCGAAAGTGAGTTGCTGGAGAGTGTAAGCCTCGAAAGTGACTTGCTGGAGAGTGTAAGCCTGAATGTTCTTATGCTTAAAGAAAGTTTTAGAAATAATCAAACCCGAACTCTGGCAAAAATCCAATAATCTCTTTCCATTATTGTTGGCAGGCGACTCTTCACCAAACTTTCCCAAAATATTAGCAAAATTTGGATCATTTCGACCTACTCTAGCGTTCAAGTCACCCATAAGAATGACCTTTTCACTGCCTCTGCGATAGATTACATCATTCAGATCACTGTAAAAATCGTCTAGTCGTTCCGAAACTGCACCTTCACACGGTGAATAAACGTTTAATTATTCGTTGAATCTTCAACAAAAAAATCTTCGATATCAGCTCCCACCGGCTTTCATACAAAAATCTAATTTTTTTGAAATTTTTGTATGAAAAATGTGTCGAAAATTATTTGTATCGCAAAACTAACGTCATATTCGGTTTTCTCGTACCCAAAAACCCCCTATACATATTTTTGAGTGTTTAAAAATACATTAAATATCACTTTTGGAAGAAAAATTGAATTTTTCCCATGGATGGCCATGGGCATCACACCAGACATGACACTTCACTCTGTCAACCAAAGTCGCTCAAAATCTAATGGTTTCTATTCCTCGGCACCCCCAATCATCCCGTGAAGTCAGATTTTGAATTACTTTTCTTGTTTGAAAGTTATCGTGTTAACAAATTTTTGCGTACAGCGTACAGCGTACAGGGTACGCACTAACATTCGGACATCGAAAAAACGGTAGATTCGTGTTCCCTGGCCCCAAAAACACCCAGAAAACACATTTTTAATGGGTGCTAATTTTTCGAACGATTCCAATACTTCACTAGGTGTGTGCGGAAAAGTAATATCAAATCAATTAGAAATTCGTTAAGACTCTGTGCTGTACAAATCATTATTTTAATTGAATATATATAGTATTATTTATTATTTTGTGTTATATAAGTAAGACATAGAAATTCTTATGAAAACCTCAAAAATACTATGATTCGAATTTAAATTATCTTTTGAAAATATTTATGTTTTTTTCTCATATTTCGAAATTTATTTTCGGTATTTGGTACCTATTCCCAAGTCGTACTAATAAATTCAATTGAATAATAGAGCGGCGTGAGAGTTGGAAATCTAGTGAAAGCACTAGACATCTTTTTTTTTCTATAAATAGATCGCTGCACTTTCCCCCCCCCCCCATTGAAATGAAAATAAGAAAGCAAAACAAAAATGCATTATAATTTCAATTGGAAGCAATTTGAGCAGAGCATTACTTTTCATACTTTCTTGCGTAAGGAAAACGACACGTGTCAGCCTCGGGAAAAGAATAAAAAAAAATTGGAAATAAAATTAAAATGAAATTTATTGATGGTATAAAAATGCATAATAAATTTCATGAAATAAATAAATAAGATAGATCAGTTTTGAAATAAACACATACAAAGAAATGAGCGTTAGTGAGAATAGAATTGCATGAATGATTACAAATTATCGGCGAAATAATAAGCTAAATTACAAACAATTGAAATTGTAACGCCATCTAATATGTTGAATCATGAAACACATGTGTATGTCGCTATATCGTTATTTGTGTTCTCTTCTCCTTGTGTTAAGCTATATGATAAACACTTTGAGAGAGAAACCACTGACAGCTGCTCACTCATTCGAAAGAGACAATTGTATGAACACACACACTATTTCTCTCATTCTAGTGCATGGATATATGCGTCAACATTGCAATGCAAATAATAAATTACTGAGAGCTGCACAAAAAGAACGAGAGATAGTGTCAAACCATCAAAACAAAAACACTCTCACATTTCAGCATTTGAGTGAAGTTTTTTTGTTCATTTGAAAAAACACACTTTTGCACACTTTATATACGAAAAATAGGTTGTAACAAATCCATTATTATGGATCTACAAGATACGGATGGCATTGATTCGGACAAATTTGTGATATTTCAACAAGATGATTTACATGCAGAGAGTTTTCCACTCATGAAGGAGATTCGACGTTTGGGAAAACTGTGTGACGTCACGCTTAAAGTGAGAAAAAATACAACATTTTTTTATGTAGTTTTTCATTTCCTACACAGTATTAACCTAGTATAAGAATCGTTAATATTGTTTGTCTTCCATGTCTAATAGGTGGAAGATCAATCATTCTCAGCACATCGGGTGGTATTGGCAGCAACAATTCCGTATTTCTACGCAATGTTTACCCACGATATGGCCGAAAGTCGAGTCAAAGAAATCACAATGAAAGAAATTGATCCACAGTAAGTGTAAATACACTGGAATTTACTTTAATATTTTGAATACGTTAAATTTTCCAGAGCGTTAGAGACGTTGATAAATTTTGCATATAGTGGAATGGTAAAAATTGACAACCAAAATGTTCAAACTCTAATGGTTGGAGCTGCTTTTTTACAATTGAATAAAGTTCGCGATGCGTGTGCGGATTTCTTAGTATCACGGTAACGTGAAAAATATTTTAAGTTTCATTAATTAAGAGTATGGATGACAATTTAATTTTTCGATTCACAGATTTCACTCGCACAACGTGCTAGGTATAAGACAATTTGCTGATTCTCTAGGCTGTTCTCAATTAGTATCTGAAGCAGAGAACTATATACATTCCAATTTTACGAAAGTGTCAAGCTCTGATGAATTTCTAAATTTGAGTGAGTGATTATATATACATCAGTAATGTGCGAAGGGGGGGGGGGTTTACCCCCCCCCTGTGATTTGGATGAGAAAAATTTTTTCGCGAAAATTATTGGAATTTGCTAGAGTTTTTCATGAAAAAAGTGAAGACCTTTTTTTTTTTTTTTTTTAGCTCATCAATGTAGAAAATTGAGGAGAATTCTTTAAATTTGCTAGGGTTTTTGGTTCCGAGAGATTTTTTTCCGATTTGCTAAGGTTTTTCGCGGAGAAAATTCTTTCGATTTGCTAGGGATTTTCGCCTCAAAAAGTGACTTCCAAAAAAAAAAAAAAAAACGAAAATTTGTTTGATTTGCTAGAGAATTTTTGGTTTTTGAAAAATCACCCCCCCCTGTAAAATGTAGCTCGCACATTACTGATATACATAATTGGTTTTCGAATCTAAGGAGACTCAACTTAAATATCTTACGTACAGCCATTGATGAATTAATTGATATTATTCGACGCGATGAGTTGAATGTACGAAATGAAGAAAATATATTTGAGGCATGCATGAGATGGATAAAATGGGATGATAGTAGAAAATCTTCGTTGCCAGAAGTATTGTCCAAAGTACGATTGCCTTTGTTAACACCACAATTTCTTGCCGATCGAGTCGCGACTGAAGATTTGATTCGTACTTCACACCAATGGTGAGATTTTTGTTTTAGTTTCTCGCTTTTGATTCTTTGCCGGTTTGTCCATTTCCTATGAAAGTGTATTGATTGACTTTCTACCTCATTTATTTTTTGATAAATAAAAAAAGTCGAGATTTACTGGATGAAGCAAAAGACTTTCATTTGATGCCTGAGGTATGTTGATGTGTTTAATTACGTGTTCAATGAAATTTTATTTAATTTAAAAATAAATCTTATTCACAGCGAAGAGCACTAGTGCAAAGTTTTCGAACAAGACCACGTAATTTTTATGATTCGTCAGTTGGTCAAATATTTGCTGTCGGTGGGCTTACAAAGAATGGTGATTCCGTTTCAACAGTGGAAATTTATGATCCACTGACAAAGGAATGGAAAATGGGCGAAGCGATGTCAATGCTGCGATCACGGTAGCTCCGATTATTTTTCCATTATATGCATTTGAATTATGAAATTAATTAATTAATTTTCCAAAATTTCCTTTTTTATGTGATCAAGTGTTGGAGTTGCCGTTACGGGAGGGAAACTTTATGCATTTGGTATGAAAAAAAGAACAAATAAAAAAATCGATAATTCTCGTCAATATGGTATCATTTACAGGTGGATTTAATGGATCGGAACGGTTATCAACAGTAGAAGTGTACAATCCAAAAACTAAACTATGGTCACAAGGAAAAGCTATGGCAAAAAGACGCAGTGCTGTTGGTGTAGCGGCACTCGATGATCGTATCTATATCTGCGGTGGTAAGTTTTTTGTTGTTGTAAGAAATAGACTGCATTTTGATAGTTCATTGTCATATCAGTTACAATTATTTCAAACATTCAAAAGGTTACGATGGGTGTACTTCGCTCTCCACAGTAAGTAAACATTTCAATTCTCTAAAAAAGGAACAGAATTGTTTACGAACAAAAAATTTATTTACAGGTTGAATGCTATTGCCCAAAAACTGATTCATGGTCGACGGTAGCACCGATTATTTTTCCATTATATGCGTTTGAAATTAATTAATTAATTTTCCACAATTTCCATTCTTTTCTATGTGATTCACCCTCAGGTAGCACCGATGGTATATTAATATAATTAATATAAATAATTTAAAATATCTAGTTTATAGATAAATAATAATATATTATATATGTATATTAATATAATTAATATAAATAATTTAAAGAAAAAATTTAGGAGTGCTGGAGGAGTTGCTGCTTTGGGCAAATATGTTTATGCATTGGGTATTATTTTTCAAAGCTTCTATCCAACACAATTAATATTTTATAATATCACAAAACAATTTTTCAGGTGGTCACGATGGTCTTTCAATTTTCGATTCAGTTGAAAGGTATGATCACATTACTTGCAGAGGTGCGCACGCATTTTTTTTTGGGGGGGATAGCTGTCAAATTTCGGATTTTCGGAAGGG